AGAAAAGAATCTAAGAATCTCTTATTATAAAAAGACTTTGATTTAAAATATCTCTTTTAAAAATAATACACAAATAACATTAATTATCTAAAAAAATAGTTATTGACACTACTTCTCTTTTGTTGCAATTTTAATCTAATTTAATTTTTTGTTGAAAAACTTTTATACTTTTAAATTATTGTTAATCTTTGATATAATGCGTTATATATATATATATATATATATATATATATATATATATATATATATATATATATATATATATATATATATATATATATATATATATATATATATATATGTATATATATATATATATATATATATATATATATATATATATATATATATATATATATATATATATATATATATATATATGTATATATATATATATATATATATATATATATATATATATATATATATATATATATATATATATATATATATATATATATATATATATATATATATATATATATATATATATATATATATATATATATATATATATATATATATATATATATATATAGAGAGAGAGAGAGAGAGAGAGAGAGAGAGAGAGATAAAAATAAAAAGAAAAAGAAAAGAAAAAACTAAAAAAAATAATTAAAATACAAATGAAACAAAATTAACTAAAGAAAAAAAAAAACAAGAAAAGAAAAAGTAATGACAAAAAATCAAAATTAAAAGAAAAAAAATATTCGAGAATAGAAAGGAATTGAAAAGGAATTAAAATAAAATATAAAAATTTCGCTCCGCTTTTGAAAAAAAAAAAAAAAAATTTTTTAAATGTTAGGGTAGGGTGGGGCAAGATGACCAGTGGGGCAAGAAGTCTTTTTGCGTTTGTGAGGATATCATAGAATAGTAATGTTTTATTCCTCTATTATAATATTAATATAGTTAAAACAATATCACGAAACAAAAAATAGTTTAAATACCGTTATTAGTTAAGGTTTAAATAGACTTTTAACTTTTTTGAGTATTTTGTTAGTAAGTTGCTTCTAACTTCAAATGTTCATCGGACTGGCAATATTTTGCAATGAAGGTAAGAAAATAGTTTTTTTATACAGAATTTGTCCCACAATAATATATAGAAAAAAAAGTTTTTAATTAAACAACAAAATTAGTTTTATTTGTATTAAACTTGCACTCACTACATACGAGGCAAGATGTTCTCGTTTACGTGGGGTAAGATGCCCACGGAGGGCTTCTAGTCTCGTGGTTTTACGGAACTTCTACCATTTTAAAAGTGTGTTTAGAACATAATAACGTTTACTAATTTAGTTATTGACTTTGTTTACATGTTGGTTTATGTGTTGATAACTATTATACATATATATATAAATAATTTTTTAAAATAATTTTATATATTTTTAAAATGTTATAATATGTATGCTAAATAAAGTGAAGTGTGAAGTTGTATTACATGCAGTTACTGCAATTCAATCCATATTTGTAAAACATTAATAAATTATTTATAAATGTATATATAAATGTATTATAAAATACATTTTTAATGTAAATAATAATAATAACAATAATAAATTGAAAAAACAATAATACCATTGTTATTAATAATTCTTGGATAACTTTGTGCAAAAATTGTATGCATATAACTTAAGTAAGTTCTTATTGAACTTAAAAAGAGTTAATTTATGAATGTAAGTTAATGTTTGAAACAATAGTATATTTAATAATTATATATTACTTTGCATGTGTTTATATGTTTTGATTTGTATGTATGTATGTATAAGTGTCTAACTGGTTGCATTGTTAATTGCGCTTCTTTAATTAAACGATCAAGCTCCTCTTTAATACTTAAAGTCTTATTTTAAGTTTCAGGTTATTAAATAAAATCCACCATATCAGACTCAACTGATGCTCTTACTAAAGCAGGTATATATATTATGGTGTATATAATATATACATATATATATACTTCGCCCTTACTTTGCATGTGTTTATATGTTTATATAATTTAATTTTAAAATTTTTATATAGAAACATATTTTTACAATTTAAATAATGGTGAAAAATTATGTACGAAAAACACAGAGAGGTGCAACTAATGAAGGATAAAGTCAGCGCTAGAAGCTATGGAGATGGGCTGCAGTCTGAAAAATGTTGCATCAGAATTTAGTATTAACAAAAAAATATTACAACGCCATCGAGATGGAAAAGTAAAGGTAGTTGGTGGTTTATCTCTGGGTGGAAAATCTCCTGTATTTAGTAAAGATTTTGAATTAAACATTGTAACACAAGTTCAGATTATGGAAAGAGCATTATTTGGCTTGACAACAATAGATATACGTCGCCTAGCATACAATTTTGCTAAATAAATGGATCTTAAAAATTCTTTTAATAATGAATCAAAAATGGCAGGAAAGGATTGGCTGCAAGGATTTATGTCTCGCAACCCACAACTTTCTATTCGAACCCCACAAGCCACCAGTGTAAGCAGAGCTGTTGGCTTCAATAAACCAAAGTTAAATCAGTTTTTTTCTGTATACAAGTCATTATTTGAGGAACATAAGTTTTCAGCCAAACAGCTCTGGAATATGGATGAAACTGGAATAACAAATGTCCATAAGCCAGGAAAAATAACTGCAACAAAGGGAAAACGACAAGTTTCAAAAATAACTAGTGGAGAAAGAGGTGCTACTGTGACTGTTGTGTGTGCAATGAGTGCAAGTGGTGTTTATGTCCCACTATTATTTATATTCCCCCGTAAGCGAATGACTGATAGGCTGGCTTTTGGTGCACCTTCAGGGTCAATTGTTAGAGTTAGCTACAGTGAATAAACAGATTCATCTTTATTCATCAAATGGTTAACACATTTTTTTACTGTGACTTATGCATCTAAAAATAATGAGCAATTAATTGTACCCTATGGTCATCATAGTCACAAAACACTTGAAGCCATTAACTTTTGTCGCAACAATGGGATTCACCTCATAACTCTTCCATCTCATTGTACACACAAAATGCAACCTTTAGACCGTTCATTTTTCAAACCATTGAAAGTTGGTTACAATACTGCAGCAAGCAACTGGATGTTATCGCATCAGGGGCGTAGAATTTCATTTTTTGACATTGCAAGTATTTTTACAACTGCCTAAAACTTTACTGCAAACATTGACAAAGCAATCAATGGATTTAGATGCTCTGGTTTATACCCAATAAATGAGATTATTTTTAACGATAATGTTTTTAATGCAGCTTTGCTCACTGATGAAGCTACACCATTGGAAAGCTGTCAGCAATCAAGTGATTTGCCTAGTATACCTTTTGTTGCACCTATACAGTTGCCAGATGTCATAAACACAACAACTGTTGCCTCAAAAATGAAGACTGTTACGAAAGAAACAGCACAATCAAATGATGCAGTTGTGCCAGTTGTTGATGAGCATCTTGGCCTTAAATCCGCCCCTAGTATTTTGGAAAAGGTTTCCCCGCGTCCTAAAATTACTGTATTAAGACAGCGTAAAAGAAAGGCAGAATCAGCTGAAAATCTTACTTCTTCGTCTTTCAAGAAGAGATTAGAAGAACATGAAAACAATGTAAAAGAAAAGCAACAAGAAGCAATATTGCGTAAAGAAAAAGTTGCACTTAATAAGGTAATCAAGCAAAAAAAGAAATCAATAAATTTGAGGACAAAAAAACCAAAGAAGTCTTAAAAGCAGAAAACCTCTCAATGTTTTATTACTGATACTACTTTATGCATCATATGCTCTTGTGCTTATAATGTGCCCCCATTTGATGATTTTACACAATGTACTAAATGTACATCTTGGTACCACTCTTCGTGTGGTCCAGATGATTCAGACTTATGCTACTACTGTGAATCATAGTCATGTATATACATCGTTATTAGAACATTTATTTTAGTTATTTATTGCTAATAATTAAAAAAGAAGTTATTTATCTTCAAGATAACTGTATAGAATAATTGCATTATATTTATTTGCAGTGTTAATATTTCAGTTGTTTTAATAAAATGTAAAGAGTAAATAAAAAAAACTAATAAGGGCTTTTATTTTTAAGAACTTTAAGTTATTTTTAACAACTGTTTTAATGGTTTGGGGAATAACGCGTGAAAAGCTTTCTTTAAATCCATAGAGCATCTTGCCCCACCACTGGGGCAAGATGTCTTCTGGCACAAATTTTTTTTTTTGATTTTAAAGTTTATCAGCAGTAACAAAGTAGTTATTTTATCTTACCTATGTCTTCTCTTATAAGTAAACTTTAATATTAAAAAGAAAAAACACAAGAAAATGTAAAAGTATTTATTATATACGATAAAGTTTGTTAAGGGGGGCATCTTGCCCTATTATTTTTGAGCAACGATATGTGTTTGCTTGATATGATTTACTTTTTTATTTTAATATTGTCATTTATTATGAAAACTCTATACTTTTCGTGATCTAATGTTTGTGTGCGTGACACGTTTTTATTTGTGAGTATTTTTGAATAATTTTTGTTTTATTTATTAATTGTTATTTTTTAATGAAGTATTTATTTTACTTTTATTGTTTTTTTTATTGATTATTGGTATTAGGATTATTATATTTATTAAATCATTTTACTTTTATTGTTTTTGTTATGATTATTGGAATTAGGATAATTATATTTTTAAAACCATTGTACTTTTTTTTGCAGTAATTGTTTTAGTTACATGGTAGGTTGAATTGACATTGGTTTATTATCTACAATTTTTTTATTGTTCTTATAACTTAATTTATCATCATTATTATTATCATTATTATTTGTATTATCAATCCTATTTCGTGGTATTTACTTAAGATTAGTTTTTAATTATTTGTACACGACCTCGATGGTAAAATTTTTTATCGAAAAAAAATAAAAAAATTGATCGATGTCATATAAAAAACTAAATACTTACTTTTATTTTTATCTCGCTTGCTTTTTAATCTTTTATCTACCTTGCTATTATAAATACGCAAATAAAAAAATCGTTTCGAATAGGATATGATCTAAAACAACCGCTGTTTTCGCTTACCGTCCTTAAAAAGTATAAAGTTATTGTTAGCTATTCATTTAATTATCTTAAAAAATGCAGATGGTAGATCTAAATGAATCTGAAGATATAAATGATCTTGAAATAAGATTCACCGATGCAAAGTAATATACTTTCTCAAATTTATATTAATTTCTGTAACTTCGTTGATATATTTTAATGTTTGTAGTTAATACAACAAAATTATACTTATAAAATTTACCTAAATTTAACCAAATCATGTTTTTAAATTGAATTATTTGGATAACTTTCTTATTTATTTTTTTTTATCTAAGTTATTATTTATTTGAAGTTATGGTGTTCATTTAATCTAATATTTCAAAATGTTAATTTACTGAGTAAATATAGGGATGTGAGAAAATTTTGAATTTTTAAAATAATACAATATTTTTTAAATAAACTTATACTTCCAACTTTGAATTTTCTAAATATATAAAAATCATTTCTGTAGGTCAAGTATTTCAAAAGTTTTGCAAGTTGTGATTTTTGATATATGAAAATGCTATAAAAAGTTAGAGTCAAATTTTTGTTTTTCCCACAAAAAAATGTTTATCTCGCTAAATATTTTTCATATTATTATTATCAAATTATATATCAAAATAAAGCTTCAAGTATATTAAACAAAAATAGAGTTATAAACGTAAAACTAAATATAGAGTTAGAAATTTTAAAATAAATATGTAAAATAAATAATGATATATTTTACCTATATTTTTTCTATAACAACTTGTTTGTTTTAAGTTTTAAACTAAAAAAGTAACTAAACGAAACATAAAATAAGTGTTTTGCGCCAATCAGATTTTAATAAAGCTAACTTGTGACCCGCGAAACTTTACTATGCGAACTCAGGGTAACAACGCCTAAAAAATGTGTATATTCACAACAATAACAAATTGTGTGCTTGGAGCAACCTTTATTCAGAATGGACACATCAGATTTACTTCAAATTTTCGATATAAGTAGTTTAATAAATAATATAAAGGAACCTTTAGATTTATGAAGGACCCATGTCAACTTTAGGTCCAGTGGTTCATAGAAAAATACGAAGAATTTACAACGTAAAATTACACTATTATTTATTTCTAAAAATAAACATGAAATATATTAAAATATACATTGACTCTTTTGCTAAAAAATTACAAAATTTCATTTCATTAGGTTCATAAAAAACAATTCAGCCTATTTTGGCATAATTCTACTTTTAATTAAATCGAACAAATTTTGGTCCAATTTTTAGAACAGTCTTTTTATAGCAAAATACGCATATTCTCACATCCCTAGTAAATAGTTAGGATTATAATATGTTTTGTTTATTTAGATATAAGCATGAGTTATTTTAATATATCTTTTTATCAATTTATGTTAATAAATCTTTTATACAACTGCTCTTTAAATATCTTTTTTACGTGGCTGATTTGGTCTTAATTACAAATGATTAAGGACAAAGTGTAAACTTGGTTAAATTTTCAAAGTTTTCAATTGTAATAGCAAATTAAGAACAATAAAAAAGTTTTGAATTTCACCAAAGACTAACAAAGATCATTGCTTGAATTATGTCAAAGAAATATCTAGATAAGCTTGTGTTAAAAACAGTTTATTTATTTAAAAACTTACCCAACTTATGAAATAGCTTGATATATAATGTCTTCAATCCAGTATAAGTCAACAGATTAAAGCAAGTCTTGCTTGATCAGCAACATTCAATTAAATTGTATACTGTTAAAGTGTAATAGTAAGACACTCAGTGATTTATAGTAGATAGAGCTATACTAATGCTAAAAAAAGTTCATACAGCTACAGCCAGGGCAGTAAAGTCGGAGTCGAAGTTGCAACATTTTTAGCGGAGTCGGAGTCACTAAACAAAATTGCTCTGACTCCAATAGTAAATTTTTAACTTATTGCATAATATTTTTTTAAGAATTCAAAGAACTTTTCAAAAATTTTGCTTTGGAGTTGAAGCCAAAGTTGGAGTTAGAGTCGGAGTTGTGCTAAAAAAATTTCAACAACTAGAGGCGGAGTTGGCGTTGTACTCAAAAAATTTCAATAACTGGAGTAAGAGTCTTTACTTTTTTTTTACGACTCCACACCCCTGGCTACAGCTATACTAATACTAACTAATATACAAATCTTATTTGATTAAAAATTTAAAAAAGTAATTTAAGTAAAAGCTTTTAATATAGTTTTGTTTTACAAAAAGAATTAATAAATTATTATAATAATGATAAAGCACACTTTGTAGTGTGCAAAGTATTGTACATTAACAATTTCAATTTTTTTAATTTTTTGACCTCTTGTAATTTAGTAATACTATATTAAATTTTTTAAAGATTTTTTGAAAAATTTCCCACAATTGAGTCACAGTTAACCAGCCTTATGCAATTAATTGATATGTTTATCAATTTTAAGGTTATCATTTATTCTAGTTGCCAAATGTATGGAGGTTTCTCCAATACAAGTTGCATTCCAGCCAGCGCAAGAAAATTTTTAAAAAAACATGAGATTCAAGCAATAGCTATTATATTTTATAGTATTTAGATTCTTTTTCTGTGGATTTATTATTGTTTAAGCACTAGAGAATTCAGAGGTGCCCATGACGCTCGTTTTTAGCAGTCCTTTATATATATATAAATTTTATTTATTTGAGAAGTAATGTGAAGCCAGAAAAGCCAAAGAAGTTTATTTATATACATAAATATATTTATTACGTATACTTGATAAATGTTAAGTTTAGGGCTACTGATGGCAACCGTTTCTAGCAACCATTTACATATATAAATTTTATTTTAAGTTCAATAGTATAACTGTTTAAATAATAGTTTATTTAAAATTAATAATATTCATTCAAAATCATACAAATATAATATTTATCATATGCTTTTAATTAAATTATTATTTATTTTGTATAGTGAAATTTTTTTTTTTTTTTATAATTTTGTCTAAACTAATATCAAAATATTTTAGCACATGATGAGATCTAAACTAATTGATTAACTACATAAAGCGCGTAAAAATATATATTTTTTTAATATAATTAACCACTAATGTGTAATAAATTACAGCGTTATAAATCAAAGAACCATTGACCTGGGTAATAGGGGTGTTCAAATTTTACAAGTTTTTTTTGGAACATGTATGCAAGCTAAAAAGATGTGTAATCGTGAGTGATTTTAAGATAATATTTTGATTTTTCAGGAAAAATAAATTTCACCTTGCTACACCCAATCAAAGTTTTTCAAAATCTTTTTACAAGATTGAAATTTTCTCGAGATCTAAGATACATACAAATATGTATACAACTTATTTGTTAGCTTACTATGTCTAGAGCAAGCTTGAAAAAAATTGTCACCCTAGCTTTATGGGATCACCTTGCTACAACTTGATTTCAGAAACCATGATAGTATGAAGGGGGGGGGGGGGAAGGTGGAGTTAGGAGCAAAAAAAAAAAAAGTTTTGGTTCAGCAAATCAATTTTTTACAATATGGTTATAAAACCGCATAATAATTTTTATTAAATTTTATTGTAGTAAATTATGTAAGTAAGAAGTAAGAAAGTAAGAAAGAAAATAGGTAAGAAAAGTAAATTATGAATAATAAAAATACATTTAGATAAAGTAATAAAAAATAAGATTCGTTCACAATCTATATAAAGTATAATATAAACTACAAATTTTATAGTATATAAATAATAAAACCGCAAAGTATCATTATTATTAGGACAAGAGAAAAACATGCTAAAGGCCAGATGTTTTTTGGTTCAAAAAATCGATTTACTTATGATAAATTTTGTATTTTAAAAATATGATTTGTTTTACAAAACCTCATGATAGAATTTGTTTATATTGACAATTTAAAAAGACTGCGTTTAGTACATATAAATATGCAGTTAGACAATTTTTAACAATTATTGAATATTTATATTTTATCTACACTTTTTTTATTTATCAAAAATTAGTATCTAAAGTTTTCATTGCTTTTGGTTTAAAGTTAGTTTAATGCTGGTTTTTTATTATAAGTACATTCGTAAAGTTTATGTTTAGTTATTTTTAATAATGTTAAACTAATATTTTTTGAATGTATTTAATGCAATTTTTGAACTATGAGGAGTAGGACAGGTATTTTTAGATTCCGAAATTATAAAACGCAAAAGAATTTTATTAAGAGAAGAAGAGTAAGTGTTCGCACTAAGAAGCACTTTTTGGTAGGTTAACCAGCATGTGTTCCATGAAGCTACCAACTAGGGCTGATGTGACGATTCTTTACATGACTTTTTCTAACAATACACGATTATTTCCAATTTTTATTATTAAAGGTTACTGATGAAAAGACTTTATCTTCTTCAGGTTCTCTGGTCTTGTAACTATTATAAATAATGAAATGTACTTGTATTTAATGTTTCTAAATATTTTACGGAAATTATCTATAATTGTACAGGGGCTATTCTAGACTGTTTTCGACAGCGCCGACCGTATTTGGGCGCTGATTTGGGCGCCGCCCAAATTCAGGTAATTGAAGACCTTTTTTTTAAATTTATTTAACATATATGTAAATATTTATAAATATGATAGAGAAATATATATATATATATATATTTATTTGGCATTAATTTTGAATAGATCCGTTGTCTTGCAGCTGTTATATAAAAATAAATGAATATGAAAATAAGTTTCAATTTATGGTTTTTTATTTTGAAGAGACTTGGACAAAACTTTTTAATTTAGCTCGTATATTCACCGGACCACCAGTACCATTGTTTTTAAAGTTCGTACATTAGTAAACGCATTTAGGTTGATTAAAGTAGTAATGTTTTTTTATTTAGCTTATATTTATTTGTTTTAATTTTTGGCAAAAATATGGCAATAATTATTTTAAAGATTTTTTTTTATTAAATACATCAACAGCAGTTTCATACAATAATTATTTTATACATGGAAGTTATACATAAAAGTTATGGACTCAATGAGATTAGTAAGTTTGTTGCAGTAAATATGTGGGTTTTTTTCCCCATAAACATTTGCAATCTAGTAAATTTAAGGTAATTTGGCTATTTGTTAATTTATTTTTATTTCAGTGAAACTTCTGTGCAATATTTATTTTTAGGTAGCAAC